GTTCGGTTCCGCCTATTTTCTATTGAACCTATCTACGACAACACAGCCAACTGATAGTAGGGGCAAATGAAGGGAGGGCGGTAGACAGCTTTCAAGAGTTCCTTTCAAGCGAACTAAATGCATTAAGTGTTAAAATGTTCAAAGTGGATAAGTGGCTACAAGATTTAAAGCAGAAGAACAAACCAATGATATATATATTCCGAAAGAAACAAGATATATCTCATGTACTAAGCTGATTATAAAGTCTGTAACCAGATGTGCGGCAAAAATTAAAAAACTGGATCTATGGCTCTACGGTTGTCACCTGTTGCCAGTCCCCATCGACAGCTTCCTTCCACAAAGTCACGGCGTTGTTCCCATCAGCCACCGCCAAGATGTTTCCAGTCAAAGACCATGAAACCCTCCAGACAGGAGTTTGGAAATTATTCAATACCTTTCCTTCCCATTGATCCCCTTCCCTGGCTACGGTCCATATGATAACTTTTCCATCCTGAGAAGCACTTGCAATAGTAGATTTTGGTAGCCCGAGGTTAGGCGCCCATGCAACGTCCCTAACCCAATCAGTGTGCATTTGAAGTGCAGGGAAACAGTCCATCTTCCAAATCCCATTATATGGTTTCCAAACCTTCACAGTATTATCACAACCACCAGAGCAAAGCTTTTGAACAGGATCAACAAAACCAGAACCAACGAGAGCGCCCGGCGCGGATGAAGGGGCCCATGAGACCGATGTAACACCAAGAGGGTGAGCTTGGTCAATCCTTGATGTATCCCAACCACCATCCGGCCTTGCAGTGAATACTGAGATATTTCCATCAGAGGAACCACATGCCAAACATAGACCCACTTCATGCGGAGCCCAAGCAATCGAGTTAACTGACGATTTATGCTCATAAAAAACATGAGCTTGAGTCCACTCATTCTGATTTCCCTCCTTCCATATAATCACACGCCCATCATAAGAACATGAAGCCAGCAAAGAACCGAATTTCGGGTGTGCCCAAGCAGCCTGCCAAACTGGTCCTTGGTGACCAGTAAGCGTGGCTAGATGCTGAGAAGCCGAATTGCTGACTCCAATTATCTTAATGGTCTGGTCAGATGAAGCTGTTGCAAGGCGCTTGCCATAATAATCCATCGCAACATCATGGACGGTATCCTGGTGACCACTTTCAATCTTCTGAGCAGGCATTCCTCTAATACCAATACGTCTAACTCTTCAGCTAAGCTAGCAACCGGGATCAATTCGAATACCTAACCAACTACTGACTAGCCCTCGGACCAAATACAATTCTTATTACACTGTCTTCAATCTATCAGATTCCAAAGGGGAAATAAACTGGAAAACAAAAACATAACAGAAATTCGAAACAATATGAGACAATTCCTAATCGACCCTCGAGTAACTAAATTGCGAATGATAATCGAGTCTAACAAAATTGATAGATCTTATTTCTGAGTTTCAGAGTGTCATCATTGGAAACAGATCGATCGAGTCAACCAAATCCTAAGAAATCAACAACACAGTAACAAAAGAAAACCAGGAAAAGAAACAAATCTCAAGTCGATTACGAAAAGAGCGGAAATAAATTCATGGATCGTAAGACAAGACCCAAAACCCTAGAACACAAAATTTAAAGCTCCCGAGTGGGCAAAATAGAAAAAGAGCAAACCTCGTACGCGAAATCGATGCAGCTTTCAGGGAGAAGGGATCGTTCTCTTCGCCTGTGATTAATGGGGAAAGGGAAAATAAAACACGAAGAAAGGGAACGTGTTTGAGAAGAAGAAGAACAATAATCAAAGCGAAATGAGGACGGGCAGTTATCGTTTGCCCGAAACCCGCCCCGCCAGGATTCTGTGTAATTGGGCCTTTGGTGGTTTCATTTGGGCCTTCGATGGACGCGATCACTCCCAATGAGCATATTGGGCCGGGCCCATATTTGAATTTTCTTTAAAAAAAGAAAAAAAAAAAGATTTTAGGGAAATTGTGGACAGATTTTCTGAATAGCCTCTCATTTATGTTCTCACATCATCTCTCTGAGTCAGCCTTCCCAAAAATATAAACATAATTAATTTCGAAATTTAAAATTAGCTTTAAATATTACTCTTTTTATTATTATTATTATTATTGGTATCTTAGACTGATTTTTGGCCCATCCATCAGCCGTCAGCCGGTCTCTGCATTTACATTTTCACCTACCCAATAAAATTAGTTTAACTCTTAAAAAAAATTAAAAAATAATTTTTAGGAGTTAATTCTAATTAATTAATGATCATATTTTAACTCATCTCTAATTAAAATTGAATAAATATTTGAAAATAATTTTTAATTTTTAATTTTCACATTCGTATAAAAAATTAATTGAATAAATATTTGAAAGGTGACACATTTCTAGCCAAATTTAATTTGATGAATTTAAATACATGTTTTATTTATATATAAAATATTTGTATAGTTAATTTTTTAAATTAAAATGGATTATAGGATATAAGGTGCAAGATAAAACTGGCATCCTATGTTCTTTTCATATATATAAATAAAAAATAAATTAAAAAAAGAAAAAGAAAAAGGTTCCGGTCATGACGGCGTCAACGTTTGTGAAAAAGGCGTCAGCTCCGGCGGTGGAAAATGGCGTCCACTCCACCAGAAACCTCCACTACCAACACCAACATGATTCAAGCCACGTCACCATCCGGCTCAGGAAAGAGGGAAAGAGGGCCCACAAAAACACATTCTTGAAGTCATCCCCCGGGAGAGTGGACCCCAGCAATATCTTGTCAGGCATGCCTGTCCACTACGACCGCACCCTGGCTGGCCCCACTCTCTTTCCCAACCCACGTCTCACGTGCCTTGTACATGCCATTTCCATGGTTTTATTTTGGATTAAATTTATACAAAATATTATCGAAATTCATACTCCTTTTCTAAAAACTACTCCGTATTTTTTAAAATAATATATTTTTAACATTTTTTAAACGCTTCAAAATTATAAATAAATAAAAAAATTGATATGGTTGTGACCTAAATAGAACATTTTTGTATGGATTAAAAAATGTTAAAGAAAAAGTTCAAATCTAAATTTTATTTTTAATTGTATAAAGTAGGTAAGGGGCAAATGTGAATTTAGACGACATTTAACTTCGTCCGTTGTGGGGAGATAAAAGAGGATCATAATTAAATTTCGGCCACAAACGTTTTCTGTTGGGAGACTATAAATACATATCAAATACCTACGGTATGTGTAAAAATCAGATGGGGATGAATGTAATTCATATCTCAAATTAAGACGTTTCCTTAGAAATCCGAGCATCATATTTGTATTGAATCCGAGCCATTCAATTAAGTTCAATTGTGTGGAGTGACTCAATTTAGAACAAGGTTTCCAAATCAATCAAACTTTGATCAAGTTCGATTGTGAGTGACAATTTAGAACAAATTTTTCAAATCTTGATTTGAAAAAATCTAATTCTAGCCTTATCTGTCGATTTTACAAATTTTGTATAAGAAAGTGTTAATTAATTTAATTCAAGTATTTTTTGTTTAACAAAAACTAGATTATTGGTTTGAGGATTAAGGGTGCCTTTTCATTGAGCTTAATTCTGAGCGTGACAGACATCTCCCTTCCTCTATAAGATCATTGTTTTATTTTCCATTCTTTAATTTTAATTTATATGTATTAAATTTTTAATTCTTAAATGCTATTTTTTTCAAATCTAAGAAGCTTTATAAATGATATTCAACTTTATCCACTTTTATTTTTTAAATAAATTTCTATTAGTTCATATATTTTAGGGAAGGATTGATTGCATAATCTAAGCCTTAATCATTTTTATTTATTTACGAACTAATCTAACCATTAATTATTTTTATATTCAATTAGAGATTGTAAATATTCATATTAAAAAAAAGCATAAAATTTATTTTGTTTGCATTGGGGGAAAAAACGCGCCAAACTTGCCGGTAACAACAATTAAAGGAGGAAAATATGTAACTAATAAAATAAAAAGTAATAGAAAAAAATGAAAAAGAGAGGTGGGTTAAAGAAAAAAAGACAAAAGGATAGAAATGGTATTTTCTCATATCATTATCATTATGTCGCATGTCATATCAAGTCATGTCATGTATGCGGGCTATGTTATGTTGAGATACGCCATTAGCAGTATGATGACCACTACATCATCATCTTATATAAATTTAATTCCCATAAAACCCCCCAAAATTAAAAATAAAAAAGTAATTTCATTAAAATTATCCATAAATAAATAAACTCAGTAAATTATATTATATACAAAATAATAATAATAATAATAATAATAAAATTTAAAACCCGAGACGCATGCAAGAAACCTCATCATGGTGTCCTCTGAGCCCTCCCCCCGTTTCGCCTTTTGTATTTCTCAAGCATCCTTCTTAGCGCCAGACCCCTCATTTTCCACTAATTTACGTTTCTGCCACTCCCACTTTTAGCCTTTTGTTTTCGGCTGCGTTGCTTTTAATATCTGTCACCGCTTTCACATTTGTTCTTTGTGACCAAAAAGCCCTTTTATTCCAATCATTATATCCCATTCTCAAAAATAGACTTATGAATTTTTAAATAATACCAATAATATAATCATCAAATTTAAATAATGTGTAATAAATCTTTAAAGTTTTAATTTTTATCAATTAAATTCTTGACTTTTAAATTCTTTTGACTAAGATAAGGTCAGGCATTATTTAATATTTTAAAATATATTATAATTTTAATAAATAATTTTAAATTTTATCAAATTATTTCTAAAGTTTTGAATTTTTATTAAATAATGTATCCAGAAATTAATTGGTGGTAAATTTTAACTTTATTACCAAAGTGCAGGGGTAATATAGACATTTTGAGTGGTAACAGGAATAAGGCAGGAAGAGTTGGTTAGAAACAGCATGATGGGCATTTTTGGTCTTTAGAGAATCGAATTTTTTATATAAAAAATACAAAAAAAAAAAACATGCGCCATTTTCGCACTGCACAGTGGAGGGAAGAACTCAACTCGTTTCGAGCAGAGCCGAAAGTGACGAACCAATGGAAGCTTAGAGGTGAAAATTATTCACATTTCACAGTATCCCTCCAAAAACGTACTCTCTCTCTATCCCCTGGTTTCCACTGCTGTTCTTTCATTGAACCATATGGTGTAGAATCAGGTTCCATTGAGACCTCAGATTGGTTCCTGTAGCTAGCCTTTCACTTTTTTTTTTTTTTTTTCTTTCCCTCTTTCATGTTCTATGGCGTTCGTAGTATTGAGCTCTGTTTGTTGGTTCTGAATCCCCACAAGATGTTTTGGAGATTGGGCGTTGTTCTCGTCGACCAGCACCATGAGGATCGGCGATACGGCGATTTCCGAGGCCTGAGTGGGAGATCGTTTTGAGTATTGGATTGATAATCTTGGGGTTTGAAGCTTCTGAGAGTGTTTGGTGGATTTTTCAGCGACAAGGATGCTGAATCTTTGGTGGGTATTGAAGAACTAGCTAATGGAATTTATGGGTTTGAATTAGTTTCTTTTTTCGTGTTTATTAGGTTTTTTTTTTTTTTTTTTTTTTTTTTTTTTTTTTTTTTTTTTTTTTTTTTTTTTTTTTTTTTTTTTTTTTTTTTTTTTTTTTTTGTGGTTTCTATGTCCTGGAAATTCAGATCGTTGTTGATTTTCTGAAGCTCAAGCTTGGTTTGAAGCTCTGATCTCGAAAGATTAGCTTATCCTTGTGTTTAGCGCTTGTCTCACTTTCACTTAACAAGGACAAGTGCATAACAGTTCCGGATATTGCTATCGTTTATCGTTTTATCTTTAACGCTATTGCTAGTGGAATAGCCATTACTATTATACTAGAATTTTGTAGGAAGGGGTTGTAGATTGATAAGCTGCGAGTGTTTGTTTCTTTTTTTGGGCTGTGTAAGGATTGCTCAAAGTCTTGCCCAATTTAGCAAAGAGGGTTGTGCTACTTCATCGGCTCCGTGGGAATTTTGAGCTAGAAATTTAATAATGGCTATGTCCTGCAAGGATGGTAACAAACATGGTATCGACAACGGCAAATACGTTCGGTACACACCGGAGCAGGTTGAAGCCCTTGAGCGGCTCTATCATGAATGTCCAAAACCCAGTTCCATTCGTCGTCAGCAGCTTATCAGAGAGTGCCCCATTCTTTCTAATATCGAGCCTAAGCAAATCAAAGTCTGGTTTCAAAATAGAAGGTACTCTTCGCTTAATTCATCCGTTTGTACTTACAATAATAACCCACTTGATTATGGCAGGAGTAGATTTTGAAAAAGATATGAACCCTTTAGTTAGGGTTTTAATTGCCTTAAATTGTTTCTTCAGATGTCGTGAAAAACAGAGGAAAGAATCGTCTCGGCTTCAAGCTGTGAATAGGAAGCTTACGGCCATGAATAAGCTTCTAATGGAGGAGAATGATAGGCTGCAGAAGCAGGTTTCACAGCTGGTGTATGAGAATGGCTATTTCCGCCAGCATACTCAGAGTGTGAGTTTGCAGTGAGCTATTATAATATTACCTTTTTTTCTCCATTTCTGATTCATGGGGATTCCTTGAAATTGATGATTTTTCAAAAATGAAATGCCTTTTTCGATGTTAAATTAATGGAAAAAGGGGGAAACAAACGATTCTTGTCGAGTAGAATTGATTTGTGATGGAATTTTTGCAGACGACGCTTGGAGCTAAAGACACAAATTGTGAACCGGTGGTAACTAGCGGTCAACACAATTTGACATCTCAGCATCCTCCTCCAAGGGATGCTAGCCCTGCAGGGTTAGTGGGCATTTTGGTTGTCGGGTCCTTTTCTAATATCGTAATGTGTGACCACATTGCTGTCCGCGTTTGCAGATGGATTAATTTATTTTTCATATCTTTTCAGACTTTTGTCCATTGCAGAAGAGACTTTAACAGAGTTTCTTTCAAAGGCCACTGGAACTGCCGTGGAGTGGGTCCAAATGCCTGGAATGAAGGTGTCGCTTTGCCCTTCTTTTCATTAAATGTTAAATTGTTCTACTCTGACAATTGATTTCGTTATGCTGAATCTATGGTCAGTAAATAGTTTAAATTTACTGTGAATTCATTCAGTTTTCTCCAATATCATATTCCCACATGTCAGTCCCTTTTGTCATTACTTTTGTTTGTTTTTATTATTGTTATTATTATTTTCTTCAATTTTCGTTTTTCTTCTACTTATTTGAGGTATATCACGGTTTTCTTCTTAAGTAAGTTACTTTCTAAATTAGAATGGGCTAAATTGTTCTCTTTGAATATGATAAAGATCACCTTTTAAAGCCCTTTTCTTGCATCTTCCTTGTATAGCCTGGTCCGGATTCCATTGGAATCGTTGCTATTTCTCATGGTTGCCCTGGTGTGGCTGCACGTGCCTGTGGCTTGGTGGGTCTAGAACCTACTAGAGTAAGTGGCATGACTATTAAATTTTAAGTCAACATTCAAGTTTAGGCTAGTGAGACTGTAAAAATGACTAATAAAACTTTCAGGTTGCTGAAATCCTCAAGGATCAGCCATCTTGGTTTCGCGATTGCCGAGCTGTGGATGTTCTAAATGTGCTGCCAACAGCTAATGGTGGAACCATTGAGCTGCTTTATATGCAGGTTACTGTTTATTTCTAAATGTTTTCCATGTCTCTCGTTTGACTCTCAAGCATCTTGGTGACATTGACACCTCTTATTTCTCCCTGGTTTTGTAGCTTTATGCGCCTACAACGTTGGCGCCTGCTAGGGACTTCTGGTTGTTACGCTACACTTCTGTTTTGGAAGATGGTAGCCTTGTGGTATGCCATTTTTGGATTGTTACGACACACCTTTTGGAAGTTTCAACTACATTTATGCATTTGGGCTGGTTGTCTGAAATCTTTGGTGATTTTATGTATATAGATCTGTGAGAGATCACTTAAGAACACCCAGAATGGTCCAACCATGCCTCCAGTGCAGCATTTTGTTAGAGCAGAGATGTTGCCGAGTGGATATCTGATAAGACCATGTGAAGGAGGTGGTTCTATCATTCACATTGTTGATCATATGGATCTGGAGGTAGCATATACACTTTTATCTTTTTTTCCTCAATTAATCATCTCTTTTCTCCCAAACATTCTATCAAAGTCAATGAAAAAGGCTGATTTGAGTATACTTGACTCATTATTTAGCCATGGAGTGTTCCAGAAGTATTGCGTCCATTGTATGAATCGTCCACTGTTCTTGCTCAAAAGATGACTATGGCGGTAAGATCACTTATGGCCATTAATTTCTTAAGTTGGGAAGAATTCAGTGATGAGTTTATGAATTTGTAAGATTATTTGAATCAAACATTTTGATTCAGGCTCTACGCCAGTTGAGGCAGATAGCTCATGAAGTTTCACAGTCGAATGTAACAGGCTGGGGTAGACGCCCTGCAGCCTTACGTGCACTTGGTCAAAGGCTAACCCGGTTAGCACATAACAATTGATTCTCTATGTTGGCTTTAATAATGTAGCTTTGTTGATTATTTTAATGTTGGGAATATTTTGTAGGGGTTTTAACGAGGCACTTAATGGGTTTAACGACGAAGGGTGGTCTGTGATGGGAAATGATGGCATGGATGATGTAACTATTCTCGTAAATTCATCTCCTGACAAGCTAATGGGATTGAACATTTCATTTGCAAATGGATTTTCTTCCATCAGTAACGCAGTTTTATGTGCTAGAGCATCCATGCTGTTGCAGGTAAAGTTTTGTTTTTCTCTTTGATTAATGAAATGACAGGAAGTGTTTCTTTGTAGTATCTTGAATGGATATACTCCTTATCCTCACCTACAGGCAGAAGTTCATTGCTGATAATTTCATTCTTTCTTATAAAGAATTCTTCAGATGTATATTAACACACTATTCTTTAATTCAATGCATTTCCTTCAATTTTGCCACTACAGAATGTGCCTCCTGCAATTCTACTGAGGTTCCTGCGGGAGCACAGATCAGAATGGGCAGATAACAACATTGATGCTTTTTCTGCTGCTGCTGTTAAAGTGGGCCCGTGGAGCTTACCAGGGTCCAGAGTTGGAAGTTTTGCGAATCAAGTAATACTTCCACTCGCTCACACGATTGAGCACGAAGAAGTGAGTTACGTTATGAAAATATTGCAATGAATTATATTTCTTAAGGCCATGGCATGGTCTCTTTCTCGCCGTTACGAAACCAAATCGTGTTTTTCTGACTTCAGCTTCTAGAAGTGATTAAACTGGAAGGCGTTGGCCATACACCTGAAGATGCAATGATCCCTAGAGAAATGTTTCTTCTTCAAGTAAGTACTATTTAAGTAGGTTTCTCATCTCATTGTATAGTGGCTCTAGGTCCTTATTATTGTTATTTCTTTTCTGATAGCTCTGCAGTGGAATGGATGAAAACGCCATTGGCACATGTGCTGAGCTAATATTTGCTCCAATTGATGCTTCTTTTGCTGATGACGCACCGCTTTTACCCTCCGGGTTTCGGATCATACCACTTGATTCCGGAAAGGTTAATCTAATTAAATCAAATATAAACTTATTCCTTCTCTATTGTATGGGTTCTTTGTGATTACTTTGCTTTTTTTCCTCCAGTTAAGTGCTGTTTCTTAGCTAATCAAAGGGTGGGGCTTTGTGAAATATAGGATTTGAGCTCTCTCCTTCTATTGTTATTATTATTTTGATATTGTTGAGCAAATGTTTCAGGAAACATCCAGCCCAAATCGAACACTCGACCTTGCTTCTGCTCTTGAAATTGGGCCTACTGGAAATAGAGCACCAAACGACACTGTAAATTCTGGCTGTACGAGGTCTGTAATGACGATCGCCTTTGAATTTGCATTTGAAAGCCATATGCAAGAACATGTGGCATCAATGGCTCGACAATATGTCCGTAGTATTATATCGTCGGTCCAGAGGGTTGCATTAGCTCTCTCTCCTTCTCATTTAAGCTCTCATGGTGGACTAAGATCTCCCCTCGGTACTCCTGAAGCACAGACGCTTGCTCGTTGGATATGCAACAGTTACAGGTATAATTTCTCTTCAAACGTGTTTCTCCAATTCCAGGTCTAGCTGAGATGATACTCTTTTTCATGTTGCTATTGGGGAATGACATTCTTTGTCTATAATGATCAAGTTTAAGAAAATGTCTCTATTGCTCGCCCCATCAAATTTTGCTTTCAGGTGCTACTTGGGGGTGGAGCTATTAAAATCTGGTAACGAAGGAGGAGGTGAGCTTGTCCTGAAAACATTGTGGCATCACTCGGATGCAATCATGTGCTGCTCTCTAAAGGTGTGTAAGTCGTATCAAATCGTCTCGTCGAAAAAAATTGTAAATTGAGCAAAAGCTTCATCTACCTTATACTCATTTATCTGCAGCACTTAATTCAAAAACCTTTGTAGCCTATGCAGGCATTGCCAGTGTTCACTTTTGCAAATCAGGCAGGCCTCGACATGCTTGAGACAACCTTAGTTGCACTACAAGACATAACTTTGGAAAAGATATTCGACGACCATGGAAAAAAGACGCTCTGCTCCGAATTTCCACAGATAATGCAACAGGTCTTTACCCATTTCCCCAACCTTTCCACAAAAAAAAAAAAAAAAAAAAACGACCATCTCGAAATCACTAATGGTACTCTTGTTTTCCTAGGGATTTTCCTGTCTTCAAGGAGGCATATGCCTATCGAGCATGGGCCGACCTGTCTCATACGAAAGAGCTGTGGCTTGGAAGGTACTAAATGAAGAAGAAAATGCACACTGCGTCTGTTTTATGTTTGTGAACTGGTCTTTTGTCTGATGCTAAGATTGCGTAGATGAAGTTCAAGACTTATTTACTGTTAGATCTCTTTTGTTAGTTCTTTTGGTTATGCAAACTTTGGATCCTAAGAGTTGGCCTGCCCCTTCAGTACTCACTCTTTGTTCATCATTGTATCTAATGTTCTTAGTTTTCTTAGTTAATTTCAGTGCCCCATTTGACAACAGTAAACAAACAAAATCATTTATTTGAACAAAGCTTCATATCCATACATGCTGTTAATACCACTACTTTGCTTGTAAAGCAGCCCGTCATCATTGACTCTGAACTACAAGCTTACCAACTTGTTAAGGATTAGCACATGATAATACAAATACCAAATTTTAGGTGCCTTTTTACAGAAGAGAAAAAAAAAAACCCATGAAACGGCAGCAAAAATATTAGATACCCACCTAGAAAAAAATGACCTTTCAAACGAGGCGATTAAACTAGGTGTTGAAGAAGACTCAAAAGACATTAATGGAAGTCAAAAGTGCAGCTGAAGTGGCTAATCTCAGGCAAAATATGGATTAGTTTTGCAGTTTGAGATTGCTAATATCCTCTGATCTAGTGATGGCTGGAATACAGCTTGAACTCCTAGCAATCCCACCTTTCTTTGGAGCTGCAGCTTTGTCTCTAGGACTCAAAGACTTGGCCCTAAAGCCTCCTCTCCCATCCATTCTACTCTTCTTCAACATCTCTCTCATTGCCTCAGCCTGAAACAAAACTGGATAAGCCCTCCCCAGTTTGTTAAACCTTGCGCAGGCGCTCATGTGCGCGTTCAATGCCGCCTCTTTGCTCCCTCCATGCTTCTCGACTTCCCCTTCCACAGCCTCGGCGCAGAGCCCGCAAATCCACTTCCCAAGAAACTTGTCTCGCATCTGATCAATGTACTCTTGAGTGTACTCCTCGCACATTCCACAACACTCACACCGTGCATCCTCGATCTCTGATATCGGTGGAAGCGTTCCTTGTGTGGTATCTGATGTTATCGTTAACTCCTTCAATTCCATTGATATGTCGGAGATTGTTCTTTGGAGGGCATTGGATGAAAGCCTTGGTGGTTTGGAGAAGTTGTTGCTCCTTGACATTGCCTCTCCATGTGGTGCCATTTTTGTTGAAGAAGAACAAGAAATGCTTGGTTTTTTTAAGAACTTGGATTCAGTTTCTGGGTGAAACGAGGATAATCTAATGGTTGTCGAAGTTAAGTAGGAGATTTTGGTGTTATTTATAATAGTTGGGAGTATGGAGGAAAGAAGTTTCTGTGGATGAAAGGAGACTCACATGACACTTCTCAAAGTTAACGTGAAGAGTCATGAACATGCACAAATCTTCCAGAGATTGATGCCTGGTTGCTTCCCTTTTTGTTGTTTTAAAATAAATTTATATGGCTGCAATTCCACCATAAACGCTCTCGTCTTTTCGATTTATTATGACATTGTTTGTTTTCAGTTTGAGTCGTTCATACTATTGAAGATAGTCTTTTATCGTTTTTACATTTTGTAATCGAGAACTTTCTTATTGTTCCATTGTACAATACAATGTCGAATTAATTGCTCTCGAACAATCTTTCGATATATTATGTCACAAAGAATCGTTAATTTTATTATAATATATTTGCATGTAAATAGAAAGAAAAAAATTTATATTATTGATTGTCTCCAAAAGTTTACCTTTTCTTTCTACTCAACTGTCACAAGTCTCATCTCTTTATGTCATGTTTTCACTATGAAGTTTTGCTTTTTGGAATTAGTTGATCAATTAATGCAAAGTTGCTACTTATTTTACACATTTTTTAAAAAATTAATTAAATTTAATCCATATCTATGTAATTAATTATACATATCTTATCTTTTAATTTTTCTAAAAAAAATTAATAAATCAATTCATGTCTATTTATCTAAAAGTTATGATATTATCCAGTTTAATTCTCACTTTGAGCCTAAGCTCTCAGGACGAACTTTCATCATCTAACACCTCCCTTTAATCGAGGTTCGACTAAGTTTACGGTATGACTCTGATACCATGTTAGATGAACACAACTCTCCACTGGTATGATATTGTACACTTTGAGCTAACTAAAATCATTAACCTATTTTTCACAAATTTATAAATTAAAAAACGTTTATTACTAACATTGTCACTTTCAAAAGGGGAAAAAGGAGGAGGTTTAGAGGTCACGAGCCAGCAGTCAGGAGCCACACAGAGACGCCATATCTGAAAAGCTTCATCTTTTCCAGTTTCCATCACCATTATTAATGACCATACAAAATCAAACACACACACACACTGCAAAATATCTTCAAAGGGTTTCAACTTCAGTTCTGAGGCATCACGAAAAGCCAAACGAAGCTGTTATTAAATGAATACCAAAAGGAACTGTCTACGCATTCAATGAGAGAAGATGAACAAAAAAAGGTGGCTTTTTTTCAAGTGGGTTTGAACCGAACGAGGCCTACCAGGACTGCCATAGCCTTTTAACCAAGTGGGTTTTGCATTTGGTAGTGATTGGCCTTGGAGTTTGATATTTTTGGCTTGCCTTCTATGCTTCTGCTACCCACTACCTCAAAAGTGTGGAGATAAATATCCCCTTAAAAATGTGAATAGATATGAAAATATTATTACTCAACTAAACAATACAGATCGAGAAATAAAATTGGGATCAAATGTACTTAATCTTAATTGATATTTATAACCTTTAAATATGATACAAGATACTAAATAATATCTACCTTCAAATTTAACTGATTATTAATATCTAAAATATATGTCCTAACTAATATATTATTGAAGATATTAAATGATTACGAATATCATATATTACATAACTAATTCAAACTCGAAATAAGTTTTGCACTAAATTCTGACATCACATCCCTGTTCATTCTTTTTAGAAAAGTGCAAAATAAGGGTGTCCAATTTCGATCCAAGGTACAAGTTTCTTGACAAAATCGACCACCATGGTTAATTAAGGAGGAGAAGATCATGAAAAAGTATGAAATAAGAGAGTTGAATTTCTCGTTTTGAATCCATATTGGTGGTAGGAGTGTGAGTTTATAAGTACTATTGCATACGTGGGATTGAGGAATATGGAAATTTGGAAATAGAGTATTTTTTTTATTTATTTATTTAGTTTGGTCCAAAGAAGTGCCCAGCCCACGGCCCAATTAAATGATGCGATGATTCACGTTGAAGGCCCATATTGAAAGCCCGTTAAACGTACTATTGGGCTTGAATGCTAGTCACGGATCAAAATTAAATTCTTATTGGGCTTTCTACATCCCATCACGGCCCATAACTCTTATAAAGGCTGAACCCCCTCCTTTTTTCTTCCTCCAGATATTACTGAAACTAGCGGCTCCATCGAGATTTGATCACAAGCTCTATCTTTCTAATCACATCGTCCAGCCTGGCTTAAAAGACACGTGTTTATTTTTAATTTTAAAAACTATTCAAAATTATCATTAACGTTGCAACGTGTCAGAAGATACATTTTCTAGAAAAATACAACAATTATACAAATTACTTACGAAACACACGTGTCAAATGGTTATATTTACTTGGTCTTTATTATTTTTTTAAAAAAACATTATCTCTGTTTTTCAAATTAAATTAATAAAAACATCCTTAAAAACTTCAAAAATGTTAATATTTTATTTAAAAGTAATTCTTCAAATTTCAAATTGCTTTTAAAAAATCTTTTAAATTTTCAAAATATTATAATTATACCCAAGAAATATCAAAATTAAAGGTGTTTTTATATGTTTTCAAATAACGACAATATAGAGTGGTGCTTCACCTCCAATCATCCTTGCACCATTTTTCATCGGGCTCACCTTTTTTTCGAAATACTCCTTTCTATGTTTTCCTCTTTTTCGATTAACCGGACCAGTCACTCCTCAACCAACTAAGATATATCTTCATTAATTCCTTTTTACCTATGTAGTATAGATTTTGATTATAATCATATTCCATCCCTTATAATGGAGTATATAAATTTATTTTGGTGCATTGAAAATTAATATTAATTTAGATAAAGTAATAAGATAAAAATAAGAAGGCGATAGCATATTATAAAAGGGTTGGCTCAGAGTCCAATAATTAATGAATAAAATAATAATAACAAAAAAATGGCTACTATACCGTACACCCAACACAAAGCTTTCTTAACGCATACACCCTCCGCTCCCCCTTTAAATACCCTGTTTCTGCTTCCCTTCCTCGTGTGTTGAAAAAAAACAGATCCCATTTCTTCTCTCTCCCGAAAAAACCCTCCAAAACTCAAGAAATCCACCAAAACCCTTCAAAATTACAGACCCAAAAATGGAAAATAACCTCCCCATAATGGCCAAAAAGGTCTGGAATTTGGTTCGTGTCGCTTATTTCCTTCTCCGTAAAGGCATCTCCAAGAGCAAGCTCATGCTCGACCTCAATCTCATGACCAAGCGCGGCAAACTCGCCGGCAAAGCCATCAGCAACCTCATGTTCCACCACCACTATCACGCCGCCGCCTCCCCTTCCTCCTCTCCTCCTACCTCCGCTGGTCAACTCCCCTTCCCTATCGGCGCCGACGAGTACGAATTCAGCTGCAGCAATAGCCCCGCCTTCCCTGCCTTCCACGTCGGCAAGCGCCGTCGTAACCAAAACCACAACTCCTTCTTCGCGTGTGCTCACGCTCCTGACACACTCGACGATGACGCCGCCGCTGCAGTTAATGCCGTTAATGCCGTTGTCGAGATTCTGAATAACCACAGCGGCGCGTCCTCGACACCACCAGTCCCAGCCTCCCCTGCTCTCCCTGGATTTGGCCGGACTCCGAGGAGAGTCCGTCAGCTTAGGATAACCGACTCGCCGTTTCCTCTACAAGACGCTAACGCTGATCCGTTAGTTGACAAAGCGGCCGATGAATTCATAAGCAGGTTTTACAAGGAGCTCAGGCTCCAAAAAACCGCCGACGAGAACTGAACTCCGGCGCCGGTCTGAAGCTGATAATTATATATATATATATATATATAATCCTTTTAGCTACGTGGCATTGTTGTTGTCTTGAATTATAAGAAAATGGAAAAATAAAGTTCTGAGCGTATTTTGTTTATGAAAAAAAAAAAAAATTGAAAAATTAAATTATTAATTATTTTTCATATTATAATTATTCGATTCGACTCCACATTCATGTAAATTCAAAGTATCTCCTAATTATGATGAGAAAATCCAACGACTTAAGTACAATTTTAAGTACAAATTCCTTATCTTTTTTTATATTTTAATTATTGAACATGAACAGAACAATAAACATATGATTATTTTTTTAATTTTAAAAAATTTGAAATAGCCCCTTCCTTTAAAATTTATTTTCTCCCAAAAACAATTATAAAAAATGAAATTAGAAGTACAAAATATCTAGCAAAATGGATAACACAATGTGCTTAAATTATATAATTATATATATTTCAACTTTTTATATGTACTGTTGTGTTGTTAGGCGTAGATTTAAATATCACGTCACGCAATATCTTTTTAATATATTACGTTAGAAATTAAATATTTTGTATTAATTCGAGATTTTAACAATGGTATTTCATGTTTACTATCTTCAGATCTGACCCAAAAAAATCTTTTTTTTTTTAATTTTTTATAAAATATTAAAGTTAGAAATTAAAAAATAATAATAAATTGGTCCAAGTTGCATAAAATAAATTAAAAAAATGGGAATTAATTGGTATAAATGTATGGGGAATCCGACGTGGAAAATGATAAAAAAAAAATTAAGCCGTTTGGGAGGGGGAAAAGTGACTTTTACAGCCTTAACACCACAGCTCGCACTAAGAAGCAAGCAGTGGAAGGATCCCACCATCTTAAAGCTTTGATCCAACATAAGCCTTATTACTTAGCTGGCCCCCTCTAATTTAATTTTTTTTTTTTAAATATTCTAACTTTTTTTTTTCCTTTTTGCTTTTGTTTTCACTCTCTTGTTTACGTAAAGCCATGACATGCCGAGAGATTTGATTTGTATTCTAATGGGATTTGTTATGGCCTTTATGCTTCTCTCTTTCGCTATGTTTTACATCCGTTTTACAAACCATTGGAAAAATAAGAATTCAAAAACTTTGGTTCTAGGATCTTCGTTTTGTTATATTGGACCGCACTTTCAGTTGGGATTTGATTCTCCATTACTCTCGTGTGCAGTTTAGCTTAATGCTCAAATTCGCCATTTCAGCCCTTTCCATCTTAAAAGTTGCTCTTATGTCCTCCCACATTTCATATACCATTTTCTAGATGTTCACATGTACATCCATCTGGATATTCTTTATCAAAGTGTGAAAATCTCTCTTTTATAGATGCGTTTTAAAATCGTAAAGTTGACTGTGATACGTAACGGGTCAAAGCATACAATATGTACTAGCGGTGGATTTGAATTGTTAAACTCACACTCAAAATCACCCGTTTTTGTGGTCTTGTCTAGGGTTTGAACATACCCACCCTGTTTTATTTGATTAGGAGTGGTATTTAATGCTTTTAGAATGATTAAAAGTTATTTTAGGACATGTAACATTACTTTTTAAAAATTTGAGTAAATTAATGTTAGTTTGAGTGAATAAATGGTTCAAAGGGATTGAATTATTGTTAAAAAAAAGTTGCATAAAAAGAGAAAAATTGATAGAGGGGCTGTGAATATCGTACCATTATTGTGTACTGTTCAACGTTGGAGCGTGATAAAGTAACCGGCTGGGTATCTGATGCATCCCCCCCTCCATAAATATCTTCCAATTCCACTTTTTTTCCTTTTTTTTTTTTTAATACTTTTGATTCAACCAAATTAATTAAATTATTGCTATAATTATTAATCAAATATTTCCCTTTTTTTTTTTTGTTTTAATGTAGAATTGTTGTGTTTTTAGTACAAACTTTGGTGCTTACTATATTTGTTAATTTTTATATTTTATATTTTTTAAAACTAAAATTTAATTATTCTTGGATACCGGCGTTGACGAATGGTAACACCTGATTGTCTCGATATTCACTTGCATCCACTGTAACATGATCGCGTTATCTACTCGTCACTTTTAAGAGTGAAAACTATTAGACCAACCCGAATTAATATACTTTGACCTCACTCACATGTTTCTAGAAAACTTTTAAAAAATACTTTCAAATTAAACGTATTTATTTTCAAATTATAATCAAATTTCTTGTATTTTAAATACATATATTGCATTACTTAATTCAGAAATAATAATAGAGAAGATAAATCTATTGTTATAAAAATGTTAGTATAAACTAAAAATAACAAAATTAAAAAAATTAAGAATTAAAACATATGGTTCAATAATTTAAAGACCCAAACTAAATAAAATTGAAATACTAAATTTATTTAAACTGAAAAATAAATATTTATATTAAATTAAATATGGTGCGACATGATAACGTCAATATGATGTAAGATTCCTTTCTTATCGTGTCTCGGTAAACGGGAGATGTTGATGTCGTTTTGATTTTTGAATCAGCCCATTTTTGGGAAAGCTAAAGAAAACGCTGTTGTAAATGCCAAAAGCGATTTTAGGTAAAAGCCTGGAAGCATGGGACACGTGTCGCGTTTTTAACTAAGTATTTGATTGTTTTTTTTACATGTAACGATGTGTGGCAGCCGCAATTTATTATATGATTTAATTTGATCTTATAATATATAGTTTTTTTTTGCCATAATTACTAAGAGTAGGCATGTAGAGGGGTCACAGGCCGGTTGGCATTTCGTGTAGGATTTGGTTAATCTTTTTATTTCTCTTATACTTTATTAAAAATAACAATAATTGTATATTAGTTTAATGTAATCCGTAATTTCACTATTTTTAATTTAGATTTGATTTTATTAATGTAATTTTCAATTTAATTTTATTTCTAATATTTAAAATTTATAGTTTATAAAATTTTAGTTAATATTAAAAAAAAAAAATCAGATATCCGACCATCTAACCTAAAATAGAAATTTAAATTGAATTGTAAATTCTATTCAAATTCTTGAGCCACCGTTACAATTAGCTTATACTCTTTGAATTTTTTTAAAAATTTATTTATTATATATTAAAATAATTTTATTTTAATTCAATAGAAACTATATACTGAATTAAATATAAAATTAAAATTTTAAGAAACCATCCTTACAAAATTAATTCATTTATTACAAAATTTAAATTAATAGATACTTTTTTGCCTCCATAATTTATTAAAAATAAATTTGTAATTAAACACATAAAATAGGACAATTTAATAATAAAAAGTACATAATTTAATCCAAAAATAAACCAAATGAGAAAAGCAGTTGCCATGGCAGGTTCCTCGAAGTTCCTAAAGTATGGAGATATATATATATTAATATTATTAAAATAATAATAAAAGTAATAATATAATAATAATAATAAATGAATAGATGGCGTCTGGAGAGCCGGGAGACTTGCCTCCGAAGGAATTGAAAGCATGCATTTTTGGGGAGTCTAAACCTAAACCCAATAAATAATAATAATAATAATAATAATAATAATAATAATAATAATAATAATAAATAAATAAATAAATAAGAGTTGCGTCCCAAAGAACCCCACACGTTTGAACCGATTGATTAAAATCCAACCCTTCATTTATGCAATGCCTTAATGATTTTCAACTTTACTTGAGAAGTCAAAATTGGTTGACAAAACACCACTTTCAACTTTGAATATTCTTTTTAACATATAGTCTATTGTCACGTCACGTAAATTAGTTCAAGTATGCATAAATTAAATAGAACTTTAGGATTATTGAAATTATTGTATCATAAAAGAAATTAAAAGCCACTTTAATATTTTGGCACATGATATAATTTCATGTTTTCTCAATGTTCTATTCATTTCATTTGTCATTTGGATGTAATAATTAGCAGAGAGAATTTCCGGTGGAGTGGTGAAATGCGTAGAGATCGAAAAGAACACCAACGGCGAAAGCACTCTGCTGGGCCAACACTGACGTTGAGAGACGAAAGCTAGGAGAGCGAATGGATTAGATACCCTTTAACCCAATTCCTACCGTGATGAATATAAGCACAATTGAAATTTCTGGAGAGTTATACATTTGTGTAAATTTCTTGAAGCTCAATCTCTCCCCCGAATGAACCATATAGCCAAGAAGTGGCCCCAAATTAAGAGTGCATTTTTGCGTATGAATGATTTAATTCTTTTTTTTTTTCTTTTGGAGAAGGTATTGGATTGAAAAAAAAAGAACTTTTTTAACAGATTTTGTACGTAAAAGAATGAATAGCACTAGTTATTCGATATAGGTTAGAGATTCTATTTAATTCGAAGTATCATGTCTCGTGGGGATCCACCTCAAATGAGGTAGAGAATCTCTGTTTAAATGATAAATAAGGAGAGAGTGAGAAAAAGGTCGAAGATTATATTCTTCGTCCCTCTCCTACTCACTTTATATAGAATTAACTCATTACATTTATGTATTCATTCTTATTTATGTGTGAAATATTAAGTGGTTTATTGATTTTTGTTTTTTTTTATAAACTAAGTTGAACCTTTCTATTATTATAAACCTTTTATTATATTTTTGTTTATGAAATATTATTGAAATTTTTTAATGATAAACTATATTAAAAAATGAAAATTATCTATTAATTTTTTGAAAAAAGATGAATATATTTTTTAATAAATATTAAAAAATTCAAAAAAAGAATCCCGCAGATAACCCGATTCCCGTGATTTACTAAGGTTATATTTGAAATTTTTTTAAAAAAGTTTAAGGTATTTTAATTTTTTTAAAACAAGTTTAAGAATATTAATAAAACTTTTAAAATTTGGATACAATTTCTTTTATAAGTTCAAAGATATTTTCAAAATAAAATATTAATAATTTTCAACCAAATAAATGTATTATTTTTTTAAAGTTTAAAAATATTATTAAAATTTTTTTAAGTTTTTTTTTTTTTTTTTTTTTTT